CATCGGGCTCAGCTGCAGGAGGGATCCGTGTCCCTGGGTCCCTGCACAGGCAGAAGGGCCCTGAACCACCTCTGTGGTTTCTCCAGAGAAGAAAAGCAGAGTGGAGAGAGGAGGAATCAGCCCTGAGCCATGACCCACCCTCCCACTGCAGAGAAACGGGTTTAAAGTCCCTCTGTGAAGCGTTGGGCTGGAGGGACCCTGCTCTGCTGTGGGTTTTGGTCCCCAAAACCATCCCTTGAAGCCACTCTGAGAACGTTTCCAGCCAGGCAAAAACCACCAATTAGTTAATGCACTGCGCAGGGTGCCTCATACAAATTTCAAAGCAAGAGTTTCCACCTAACCACAGCCCCACCTTTGCTGCAGGCTACGCCGATCACATCCTGCCTTCTCTGCCCCAGAACAATCCGTCCTCTCTCATTCCTCTCCCTCCAACCACCTCCCGTCCGCTGGGAACCGGCTGCTCTGCCCACCCGGGGCCAGGGCTTTTCTAGGGAAAAGAGAGAACCCCTGAACCCTGACCGGGGGGACCCATCCAGCAGAGAGCACCCCTGGGCTCATCAAATGCTGCTTTTTTGCTTGAACTTCAAAGGTGCTAATTGGCTGGGACAAACAAGGCAGGATTTACATGCTTCAGGAGACGGATAAATAAACATTACCTTCAGGCTGCGTGCTCTGCGGGCGCTGGACGTGTTCCCCCGCTGTAGGAAGGTTCCCTCAGCTCAGGACCCTTGGGCAGGGCTGGGTCTCAGGGGGACAGTGCTCCCCGGCACCCACCTCCCCTCTTCTTGGTTGCAGCTGCCGGAGCCCATCATGCCCTTCCGCCTGTACAACGAGCTGATGGGGCTGGCCAAGGAGAGCCTGCAGGGCGGCGAGGGCAAGGGCAAGGGCGGCAAGGGCGGCCCTGAGCTGGTGGACAAGGGAGCCGACACCGACAAGGTGGTGATGAACCTGGTGCTGAAGCTGAAGGAGCTGCTGAAGGAGCTTCCCTTGGAGAACATGGCCACGCTCCAGTACCTCCTGCAGCACCTGAGAAGGTGAGGAGAAGTGCAGAGCCCCTGCGGGTGCTGGGGCACATTCCCTCTCTTCCCAGCAGCTCCTCCAGCCTGGATGTGCCAGGATGGGCAAGCTCTGCCCGTCTACCCATCCCTTCTCCCGGCTTCCTCTCATGAGTTCCTCCTCCTCCCAGGATTGTGGAAGTGGAACAGGACAACAAAATGACCTCGAGCAACCTGGGCATCGTCTTTGGGCCGACGCTGATGCGCCCGAGGCCCACGGATGCCACTATTTCCTTGTCCTCACTGGTCGATTATCCCCACCAAGCTCGCATCATCGAGGCGCTCATCATCTTCTATTCCACCATCTTTGAGAACAAGGAGAGCACAGTGCTGGCCAACTCCAGCAAATTCTCCATGGACAGCAGGGAGGAGGCAGCCAGCAGCTCGGACCTGGTAGGAGTCTGTGGGGCAGGGAGCACCCTGAGGGGACGGGGATCCCACCAAGACACCCTGTCTGTGCTCGAAACCCGGAGCAGATCAGCCGGGGCAGCCCCTCCTGCAGCCCCAGCACCCCTGAGCAGTGCCCGGCCGTGGGCTCTGCCCCACAGATGGCACCAGGGACACTCCCCATCCCTGCTGTGCCCCACGATGGTACAGGCCTGGCCAACGCTGCTGCCCTTCTCTGAGAAACCCTGCCTTGCTTCATCACATCCCCCCGTGCACCCCTACTCCACTCGCGAGTGATTTTCTGCCCCAAAAGAGCAGTCCCCGCAGGTGACAGGCAGGGGGTGGGAGGATGGAGCCTACTCACCTTTACACAGGGAGGAAAAGATGGCATTTCCCTGTGTCTCGGTGAATGAGAACGTTTCCTTCTCCTCCGTGCCCTCACCACTGCTCTTCCTCCCAGGCCAACGCAGGGTCCCAGCCTCCAGCTCCCCCCGGCAGCGTCCCCCACCCGGAGCCGCCTTCGGAGAAGGGAAATTTGGGTTACGGCTCTGACTCATTCACAGGTAAGAGAAAGGTGCCCGGTGGCTCCCCCCGAGTGGACACAGGTCTCTCGGGAGGTACCGGTGTCACCAGCGGCGACACCTCAACACCTTCCCCTGCCCCGAGGACCACGAGGTTGCTGGGCCGAGCTCCTGCCGGAGCCGTGGTGCCGGGCGAGAGCGTAGCGCGGGGCTCCCTCTGTCCCGCAGAGTCCGGCGACCGCTCCGTCGACTCCGACTCGGAGCTGGAGGACAGCGGGGACCTGGGGGCTGCCACCGGGGTCCCACCACGAACCCAGCTCAGCAAACAGGGGAGCGAGACCAGCACGGAGGAGGCTCAGTTCTGCGAGGAGGGCAGCGAGGGCCAGCGGAGCCGCAGCTGCAGCGTGGGGCAGTGGGGGGGGACGAGCACCGCTCCCCGCTGCCGCAGCCCCCCGGGAGAGGAGCAAAGCGACGCAGAGGAACCCCCCGGGAGCCGCCTCTCTGCTGCCAGCACGGACCCCAACACGAACCAGTCCAACAACGTGTCCTCCTCGCCCACTGCTGCCCGGGGTCCGGCAGCCGGGAGCCCAGGGGGCGGCGAGCAGCAGCCCCAGTTCATTTGAGCCCCCCGACAAAAGCCCCCCGGACGCTGGGAGGGGGCAAAGGGGCAGAACCCAGATGCCGCCCGGGAGCAGCGAGGCGCGGAGCTGGGCTGGGGAGGGTGGGGAGGGCCCGCACGGAGCCCCGGGGATCTCGGGGGGGTTTGGTGTGGGGGCTACAGGCACGTCCTCACTGCTCCGTGGCTGCAGCTTTCACACAAAACCCCCCGAGCCCCTCGGCTCCCGACGGGGGACACAGGGCCAGGCTGCCCTGACTGCCGGGGACAGGACCAGCAGCCCAGAACTACGTGTCCTGGGAAGGAGCTGAAGCCCGCAGAGCCCTCACTGCTTGTTCCGGGCTGGGAAGGGACCCGGGGCTCTGCTGCTCCCCCGCCGGGACACGGGCTTTGGTTTCGCTGCGCTCCCTGATCCCGCGCCCCCGCTGCAGAAACGGGGCAGGAAGGGTCAAAGGATGTGACCGTCCCCGCTGGCCGCGCCGGAGGGGAGGACACTGGGAGAGGTCACAGGACAGACGGACAACACTGAGCACCGTGGGCTCGGGCTGGATCTGGGAAGGGGACACGGCACTGAGCTTGGCGCAGCCGGGTAAAATCCCCCCGCACCCTCTCGCACGGAGCCGCCACCGGCCGCATCGCCTGCCAGGCCCTGAGAGGGGCAATTATCGTTTCTAACTGACTGTTCCTGTCACCCCACCTCCAGCCGGGGGTTTGCTGCCCCCACACCCCTAAGGGACAGGGGGCTCAGGCCCTGCCGGCCTCGGGGGACGAGGTTTGTGCTGCTCCGTGTGTTTATGGGCATTTTTCTACCTGGTGGGAGTCTCGTGAAGAGCAGCCACCGGCCGTGAGCGGGGACGGGGGGTCCTGGCTGCAGGGTCCTGAGCTTTGCCTCATCTCTCAGGGTTTGGTTTTTCGATAGACATTTGGTCTCCGAAAATCTGAGCTGTGAATCCAGGGCTGCCCCGGGGCTCCTCCAGCGGGGCAGGGAGCAGGGAACCAGGGGGAGACCCTGGCCGGGTCCCAGCCCCCACCACTCTCAGAGGCTTTTTTTTTGGTTGGTTAGTTTTTGGTTTTGTTTTTTTTTTGTAAAGAGATAATAACCCTTCATGAATCCACTACCTCTGCTGGCAAAGGAACTTTGAGGGTCCAATGAGACCAGTCAAAGCATATTTTTTTTAAAGCTATGAGACTTTTCTGCACTGAAGCTATAGAGAAACCAGTAGATTTTAAGCTTAGAAAGAGCTGAAAGCTGTTTCCTTCTATTCCCCTGCTGCTGCCCGGGTGCGTCCCCAATGTCACCGCCCAACGTGCCACCAGGCCTGGCCGGGGACAGAGGCGTGAGGGCACCTCACACGGGGGACACGCGCAGCCCAGGGCTCCTGAGGAATTGCACAAACCCAAAGCTTTCTCTAATAATCAGCCAGAGCCCCCCCGGGGGGGACGCTGGATCTCGGTCCCTCTGCTCACGCGTGGGAGCAGCCGCCCCTCGGGGCAGCGAGGGGAGGGCAGGGGCCGAGGGAGCCACGGGGGAGGGGTCCCAGGCACGCCGAGCGGTGTGTGGGGGTCACACGCACCCCCTTACTGCAGAACTGGGCGACTGACCCCGCAGAGGATCAGTCCCCGGCACAGGGAGAGCCCGGGGGCAGGGCAGGGTAAAGGTACAACCCCCCAGGTAACGCACAGGTAAATGGTTTATCCCTGAGCCACGGAGGAGCCCGAAGCTCTTCCAGCTCTTCAGCCAGACGCTGGGATTGTCCAGCGGCTCCTTTCCCCGGCAGCAGGAGGGAGGGGGCTCAGAGCCCCCCCTGCCCGGGCGGTACCAGGAGTGAGAGACTGCGAGGGTGGGAGCGAGGGAGGGGACAGAAGGGGACAGAAGGGGACACCACGCGCTTGAGCTTCCCGTGGTGCCAGCCCCTTCTCTCTGCACGTCAAGGGGAGCGTGTTCGCTGCCACGCGCTGCTGCAGACGCCCATACGCGTTTCGCTGTGTTCGGATCGACACGATTCCCAAAATTAAATAAAACGTGTGTGTTCCAACCTGTGTCCGTCCCGGGGATCTTCCAGACCCACACACTGCGGTCGCAGGAGGCTACACACCATAAGGAAGGACTCCAAGTATTTCTAGCAAGTAAACTGAAGTTTAAAAAACCCTCAAGAGACCTGAAACAGACTAAAATGAAAGTGGCCGGGGGAGATAAGTGACTCTCCAGCGCAGCATCCGAACATGGAGACCTCAGGACAAGGGCTGGAGGGGGGAGAAGGAAGGAGGCAGCACCAGAACCACAGACCGAGCTCCGAGCCCTCGGCGATGGAGAGTCCAGCAGAGCCCCGGCCACAGAGCACCCCAAACACAACGGGGAACAGGGGAACCCCCCGAGTCCAGAAGGGACAGGGAGAGGCTGAGAAACACAGCACCAGTGAGGAACAGCCAGAGTACAAACCTTTATTATTTATTAAAAATAAGATTCTATAAAATAAAGCAGGAAAGCAGAGGCCCTTTTCCACTTGCCTCCTGCTGCGCCAGGCTTGAGTCCTTCAAAGACCTTCAAAGACCAAGGGGTTACAGCAAAGTCGACACTGAAAAACAAAGAATTAGGCCCAGTAACATCCCTGCAGGGAACATCTAAGAAAAGGCAGAGATCTCGGAGTGTCTGTGACTCGCTGGCATCACACAACTCCCCCGCAGAACTTGGGGTGTGAATCACCCCACCGAGCCCCACCGACCACCCCAAACACCCACACCGAGGCCAGGAAAGCCTTGCCCCGCTCCGTCCCCTCGCTCACAGCTCCCTGCACACACAGTCTAAAGCTCTGAGACAACCTTTTCCCAGAGGCAGCTCACTCCACTCAGCCCCCCTGCTCCCCCGAGGCCTCCGCTGTCGGGGGGGTTCACACTCAGCCTTACCCCGCAGCCCCGGTCACTGCACCAGGCGGTAGGTGATGTACCGGCCCGCGGTCTCGCTCGGTCGTATGATCTTCACCACCTGGAGGGGGGACAGAAGGGACTGCTGAGGGGGAGGAGCTGGTGGCAGCACCCCCACAGGGCTCCCCGGCCCCACACAGACACAGACCCTGGCAGTGTGGGGCTCTCAGCAGCCACAGAGACGCTGGTGCCGAGCTCCCCACTTCAGGTGGGGGCACAGGGTGGAAGTGCAGCCCCCCCAGTGCGAGGGGAGGGGAGATGGCAGAGTGTGGGGCTGTGTCACATCTCATCTGTCACCCACCAGTTCAGCAGGTGGCTGAGACTGCCGTGTCCTCACCAGAAACCTGCTCACTGTACACACACCCGCCCCCCACCCACCACAGCTTTTATGTTTAAAAGAGACCCCCCCTCTGCTGCCTCCGGGAGCTCTGAAATACCTCCGAGGATCCCCCCTCCTGGCCCTGCCCACGGCTGGTGCCCGAGTCTATTCCTCTCTCACCTGCCCCCGCTTTATTCCGAAGTACCGGGCTACGGGATCCCCGGCCTGTATCCTGGGGAGCTGGTTCTCCCTGAGTTTACTGGGTGGGGGGTTAAGGAGAAGCTCCCCCCGCAGAACCCGCGACCGGCCCACGCTCCCCTTCGTCAGCACAGCTCAGGGAACAGAGTCACAAACCATCACACGCAGATACACTCATTTTCAGCCCAAAGCCCGTCTGCCTCACACCCAGGCAGGAAGGGAAGGAACAAACAAAGGATACTATCTGGCCAGCAGCTCAGTTACTTCTTCTTTTGTCATGACAACGTGCTCCGGGACCAACTGTAAACAAGGGAGGGGAGGGAGGGTGAGATCAGGAAGCCAGAGAAAGGCAGTGGCTCCTCACAGCGGCGGGAGAAGCAACTGGTTTGTCAGGAAGAAAACTCAGCGCGTCGCTCAGCCCAGAGGCCGAGAAGGTCCCTGGGAGCAGCACGAGCCACAGCTCAGCACCAGAGACCGGCCATCCCACCCTCGCTCCGCCCGACACCGCTCACCTCGTGCTCCGTGATGTTGATCAGAAGCTCCTGCTGCAGGAACTGCTCCAGGATGTATTTGGGAGCCATGTCCACCAGGGACTGGGAAGGGAAAGCTCTGTCAGACGGGACAGCCCTGCCCCTCCATCAACAGCCGCCACGGCGAGCGTGGGGTCACCACACTCGTGCTCACACAGACACAGCTACGACATCTCCTGAGCACTGCCAAACACACCTCCTGAGCACTGCCAAACATCCCCTTTTCCCTTGGCTGCTCCTGGGCCCTCGGCTGTTCTTCTGGAACCAGAACCAGCTGTTCTGGCCAAATGCACTTGCACATTAAGCAAGAGCCTGCATTAAGGTACCAAAGGCTTCAGCAAAAGATTTTATCTGGAAGGATATTCTAGGCTTTTATTTACCTAAAGCAGCGTATAAAACAGACAAGCAAGACATCCCTGGCCCACAGCAACCCCCTGGCTGGCTCTCAGGCAGCCTCTCCTGACGGCAGTTCGTACCTGCTTTGCCGAGGGGGTCATGCCCTGCTGCACCACGATGAGTGCTCTGGTGATGTTCTCCTCCTGCATCCTCTGGCAGTACATCTTGATTGTCTTTATTCCAACCTTGGGCTCCTCTGGGGAAGGAGTTTCAGAGGAAAAGGGGTTACACAAAGAGCCCTCCCTCATTCTCTTAACCCCCCCAGAGAGCAACACACGCCCTTCTGGCTGCATGAGGACCTGGACAGGCTGGAAGAGTGGGCTAACGAGAACCTTATGAAGTTCAACAAGGACAAGTGTAAGGCTTTGCACCTGGGAAAACATAATCCCAGAGTGCAGCGGGGACTGGGATCTCCCAGGGGAGCAGCGCTGTGGGAAGGGTCCTGGGGGTCAACATGAGTGGAATTCTATGGCTCTAGGATGGTTCTAGGATGATTTTATGATTCTAGGGTGGGTCTGAAATGATTCTAGGATGATTCTATGGCTTTAGGATGGTGCTAGGATTATGCTAGGGTCATTCTATAGCCCTAGGGTGGTTCTAAGACGATTCTATGGTTCCAGGGTGGCTCTAGGATAGTTGTAGGGTTCTTCCACCCCGCTCCTGACCCCGGGAACGGCGGCCAGCGCGCTCTGAGCTCACCCGGGAAGAAGACGAACATCTGGTCGGTGGGATCGTCGTTATGAGCCACCAGCACCGTCAGGTCGGTGCGGCGGGGCCGCCCCTCGCTGGGTTTGTCACCGAACTGAGCCTTGAACTCCTCCAGCGTCTGATCCAGCTCGTCCTGGGTCACCAGGTAGCCCCGGTCGTGGCAGAGCTGCCGAGAAAACACCCCCTTTCACCTCAGGCCGACCGTCATCATCACCGGGGACGCGCCGGGGTAGGCCGCAACCACACCTAACCGGGCCGCAACGACACCCACCGGGCCCCTGAGCACCCCACACCCCCTCTAAACCCCGCCGGCTCCCCCCCGCACCTGCATAATGGTCTTACGGATCTTCCACAGGCGATACGTCTCCTCCTCGTCGTCCATCTTTCCCTCACGGCCCGAGGACCCCGCGGCTGCCCCGGCGGCGCCTCAGGCGCCGCCGGGGCAGCCGCGGGGTCCTCGGGCCTAGGGGCTTCTGGGAGTTGTAGTCCCCCGCTGTTAATGGGGCGGTTCGCCGCCATTATCCCGCCGGGCACGCTGATTGGCTGCGCGGCCCGCAGGAGGCGGTGCCTTAAGGCTTCCCGCCCGGCCG